AATCCATCTTTTCTGTCTCAACTTTCAAATTTCACAAAGAGCACATTTGGTTTAGGGATTAGATATTATTATCCATCTTTTCTGTCTCAACTTTCAAATTTCACTAAGAGCACATTTGGTTTGGGATTAGATATTATTATTTAAATCTATCTTTTCTGTCTCAACTTTCAAATTTCACTAAGAGCACATTTGGTTTGGGGATTAGAAAGGATAAGTCCATTTATCCTAATTTATCATTTGTTTGTTAACTATGATACTGGACCACAATATAATGTTCGGCCCGCGGTAAATTTGTCATAATTTGAGTATGCGGGATTAACTAATCTTCTCTACTACTCCAATGATTCCATTCATCTGTATAGTACGAAATTGATAAAATGACTAATTAACCCTCAAAAGCCAATAGAAGGCATTTACAACCACACAGCTCTGTAAACACGAACCGTTTTTCAATCAACACCACCTCTCATCAAGCAAGTATAATTTCGTCCCTTCCGTCCGATTCCATCATTTTTTTAGATGTGTGTGTTGTGTGTGTATTGTTATGTCTAGGCGGTATTTTTTTCATCTGTTTGTTATCCCTAACCCTAACCCTAACCTAACATTGCATTCCAATTTTTTTGCAGATGAGTACAATTTCGGAACATCGGATGTTGTAGGCAGTTAGGTCTGCAACATTCAACGAAATAAATCATCGCTCCTGTTTGCCTAGCTGCACAACAATTTCTCAACAATTCGACCGTCAACAACTCTGGTAAAATTCATAAATTCATAATGAGTTATACAATGAGTTATACAATGAGAAGATATATCGCGATAAATTCATAAATTCATAATTTGATTGTACATGTACAATCAAATTGTACAATGAGTTATAGGATATATTGCGATAAATTCATAATTTATCTCGATAAATTGAACATGAAGACATTTTGTTTTGAAACACTATACTTTATAGTTTCAACACCAATTATTTCCATTTTATTTTATTTTATTTTTATGTTATTTTATTTTTCTCTTATGAACATAATATAGAATATTTAAAAGTACCATTTTTTAAAAATGTATGATATTTTTTTTTTAAAAGTACATTGCCAAAAAAAATCTTCTTTTACCGAATTGCTTTTCAAGTTGCTCGAATGTATGATATGACTCGAATGTTGTCTCCTTGTTGCTCTCTATTATCAAACTGGATTTTTTTTATTTTTTTTTTTCGTTTAGGAGCATTAATCTAAAATGTAACTTACATTTTTACATCTAATTGTGATACTGTTTGCATCAATAGCATTATACAACACAATTTTTTTATATATAGATTTACAATTATATTATTCATATTGGCACTTTGTTAATCTACAACACTTATCTATAATTTTTTTAATAAATAACTATTTATAGGTAAACTTACTTTGAATCAAAAGTTCTATTTGAATTAATGTTCAATAGATTAATAAAAATATATGACTTATTTACTCATGTTTTATAGTTATTACATTTTAATAATTTATCTTTGTTTCTTTTTTTTTTATGTTTACTTATATCTAAAATGAACTTATAGAATATTTAGTTTATAAAAAATAAATTTTATATACAAATGTAATTATTTATTTTTATTCTTCTATTTTACATACATACTACTTATTGCGATATAAAGTATAATAACTGAAATATATAAATTTATGTATTGTTCTTAAGTAACAACGTTTTAAAATTAAATATAAGGTACTCTCCTACAAAACAATGCAAAGGTAGATTTATTAAGTAACACTTTGAGGACAAATTAGTAATTTACTTGGCATTATCGAACTCATTGTACAAACCCTATTGTACAAATAGCATTTTTCTCCATTTAAACTTATTTTCATAATTACGAATTGGGTACATTATTTTTAAGAACAACACTCATTATAAAATTTACGGCTACTACTGTACTACATTAAAAATTAATCAAGTTTACCAAAAAATGACCTGGAGGCACGCATGTAGATGGATCGACCAAGAAAGCCGAATACACGAGGCTAGCTGGGAAAATAATCTACCTCATGAGGAGTGGGGTCTGGAAGCATTTCACCGAAAGATCCTTGGCACTCTGTGATATTGATGGTCAAGGCTCAATTATAAAATCCACATGTCCTTTCAGAATTATGTCAAATATTCTCCACCCAGTTTCTACAATATTAGTTTATCTTGAGTTGTTAACATGTGAAACATCAAGGCAGAAACCAATATTTACATAAGGATATTTTTACTCATCCGCCCAAAAGGAGGTACACCACTGAGGTCAACAGGATTCACAGAGTGACGATGCTAGGATGAGGTGAGTGAGCGGGAGTGACAAAGAGGCGAGAGAGACCAGAAATTTCCAACCCTAATCATTATTCCCTAATTTGGCATATATATATTATATATAATATATATAGAAAAATAAAAAGTCAAGGATGGGCGGGCCAGGCCATGGTAGGGCATGGCGGGCCGAGGCGGGATACAGGACCCGACCTGGACCACTTAGTTTACGGGCCGGACCTGGCCACACCCGTTTTCAGAAACAGGGCTGATTTGGCCTGCCCCAAATGCTTCGGGTCGGGCCAGGTCAGGTCAGGTCCACGTCGTTTTGCCATCCCTAGCATCTGGGTAGTACGAACGGGTAGTTCGGGCAGTCGCACAACCCATCCTGACAGTCTTGGGCAACAAGGTAAAACCGCAACATAGGTGAGGTATGTCTATTTACACCCTACACATTCTTTATACTTACAAAGTTTATATCTATTGTTCATCATCTTTTTTCTTTCACTGTGGACTGACTTGATTGTGTAACGCCGGGAACTCCACCCAGCCCATTTTGCAGGTCTACAAATAGGTCAAGAAACAGATTCGGTTAGTGCAAGCCAGATCGAGGTCCTTTGCATACCATTTTGGGACGTTTGTGGGAATCGTTTGAAAAACCTTTAAACTACCACTGTTCATGGTGAGTGACGATCTGAGGAGAAATTTCGGAGCCTACCTTCGATGAGGCTCGGGTCACCAAGTGACAGTTGGAAGTTAGCCCGCCGTCGGGCTTCTGAAGGTCCTGCTGGACTTCAGTAACCCCGATGACCCATCCATCGAGTGTAGCGGGTTCATAGGCGACACTTGTAGCAGCTGGAGGGCAGATCAACTACTAAGGAGGTGCATAGGTCGTTCCTTTGCATTCAGCACAGTCAGATCTGACTCGGGTCAAGCCAATGGGACCACCTACTAGTAGACCGACGTCTACCGGCAATCAGCTCATCAGGTTAATGAAAGAGGAGCTTTATAAAATGATTGTTGATGCTGTCGTAGTTAGATGTGCGCAGCAAGAGGTGTAAATTGTGTGAGGCAAACACTGGTGTACTGGAATGGACTCAGAGTTGGCACCGATGGACTGAGATGGACTCAAAGTTGATATTTGCTCGTTTGAACACTGGTGGGGTAAATTGTGTAAGGCGAATAAGTGCCCAGATCTACTATAGAGGATGTAATACCACCGATCTTCTTTGGTGGCTATCGAAAACAAGGAACCTGTGGATCTTTAAAAAACAATGGACTCCGGATGGGCAATTCTAGATGCTGCAATATGGGATTGGAATGAATTTTGCTTTATTTTTTTCGACTCTTCTTCTCAATCCTTAGTTTCATGTTTTTTTTGTGGTAGGGTATTGTTACTAGTGCTAGTTGTTTTTATGTTTGTTGTGGTTCTTGCAAATGTTCTTGTTTTATAGGGCAGTGAAGGCTAAGCTATATGTTACTATATTGTTCTTTTGGGTTTAGCTTTGTCTTTCACCATCATTTGTTTCTCTTTTTTAATATTTTGATACTGATTCTCTTAATTGGTTCTTTAGCCTGCTTGGTGGTTGTGTTCCCTGAGGGGAGTTGTTCTGTAAGACTACTTTATTCCAATTTTTATATATATATTTCACCGTTTAGAGACAAAATTATGAGAAGATTCAAAAAAGTTGGCCAATTTTGCACCTAAATGGGTATGGACATAGGGTTGAGCAGAGTATTGAGCCGTTGCAATTGTCAAAGGGTCATAATAATTAGGTCTTTATGGTTGATATGGTTGACCAGAGAGTATTGAATCGTTGCAACTTTTAAAGAGTCGGTCATAATTAGACCTTTAACAACATCGGATCAGCACTCAAGTTTTCTGAAACCAACATTAGAAATAGAAATGTTCTGAAACCAATGATCAGAAATAGAAATGTTGAATTGCCAAGGTAAACTGGCTATATAGTCTGCGAAAAAGCAAAATTTGAACGGAGTCACATTCAGCTGCCATCAATTTAGTTTCCTACCTTATTTTAATATTTTGTATGCCATTTATTCTACTGTTTCATTCTTCATACTTCTATTTAACACAGAAAAATACTGTTTTTCAAATAAACAATAATAACAAAAAATAAAACTCATTTAAGATAATAGTAAAGGCCAACATAGACATAAAACCAGAAAATATAAGAATCCAAAGATTTAGGTGAATGCCACAAGACAAGACTAAATAGTTATACCACCGCATAAGACCAAACAAGTAGAGATGCTAGAGTTTAACATATTTTCACACCCCTTGTCCACAAAAGCATATGTTCTGCCAAGTACTACAATAAATAGAACCAGCTTCAGACTCCATTATTTCCCGCTGCTCATCGCATTTTCACTTGTGACTTTTGCTTCTAACCTGAGTTGCACAGAAAACATCTCATGTGTCGATGTCCAAACACACATAGTAATGATAACAAACCACAGGACTTGGCATTCTACTCACAGGACATTACAACTAGGGGTGTTCAAACTTCGATTCAAACCAAAATAACCGGCAATAATGAATTTTGTTTGGTTTTACAATATTAATTTGGTTTTTATTTTTTATTAAGCTTACTCGGTTTTTTCAGTCTGTTGTGGTGGCCGAGTTCGACGGTCAAAAGACCCGAGACTGAAGCCCTAGAGGCTGAAACTCGGTTTGCCCTCGGTTGCAACCATGCTTCAACCTAGGATCGTTGGGGAGGAACATTATGAAACTGTGCAAAGCGTTTCAAGCCCAACCCCCCCAATTCGCGGGCTTTGTTTCCGAAATAACCAAACTGACTATACTATATTTAAACACAATAATATAAATATATATTATTTAAAATATACCCTAGTACTTCTTCCCAGTTCCCCCATGCAATTAAAACTTCAAATTATCACACTACCCTTCCACTTTTAAGTTAACAACGCAGCAGCCCTCTCCAGAAACTCTACAAATCATGAAATTCTAGTGCTCTTGAAAATCGCAGCCCTTAATTGTTCCTTCCTCAAAAGATAATGTTGTCCCGTTTGCCCTAAATTCAGAAATTTCCAAACTCGTAGATTTGACTATTTACCCCCAAATTCGGATTTCAAGTCCTCGCAGTGCTTCATCGTTGCCATCTTCTCACTAAGGTGCGGTGAAATCAATCGAAATTGGCAAAGTTTGGGTTTTTGAAATTGGAATTGAGACAAAAGGACTATTCAATTGTGAGAAGGGAAATTGGAGAGATCGACCCGGTGACCGAGACATGTTATTACCTTAGTTGATGTTTGAGTATCTTTATAGTTATGAGTTTATTAGTGTTGGTTGTTTTAATGGTACGGCCCAAGTTCAATTAGTTAAAAAGGGAGCAAAAGCGTGATGTTTTTTCTTCTATCTGTCCATCTACCTCATAATCCTTCTATATCTCTATATAAAACAGAGTTCAATATAATACAAAAAAAGGGGGGGACTCATAAATTTGTGGTGTAAGATTAATCAGGAACCAGATGCATACCTCATAACAGAATGCTCCGTTTCCTCCCTGCCAATAGTTTATCAACAAACTTTCAGTGACAAAAAAACTAACAGCACCATCTTCAACCTAACAAGATAGAATGCCAAAGAGGAAATAAAGCATTTACTCAAACCTCATCTTCCTCGCAATACCCAGGACTCTCATGGCTTCCTTGCTGCAATAACAACAAACAACACGATAACTTTGAAATTCCATTGAAGAAGTGTCAATAAGACCAACACAATATCACATAAAAATGTTAGATAATCGTCATGAAAAGGAAAATAAAGGAACAATGATATGCATATCTGCAAAAATAAGCTCACATAGACTGCCAATTTGGGATCCAATGAAAATATCACCCTTGGGGAGATATCAAGAAAGAATTTGGATGTAATAAGATTGATGAATGCAGAAGAAAATATTCTATTGCCTATGTACCTATGGGATAGAGATAAAGAACAAAGTATAAATCGAATATTCACGTTATTTGATACNAGGTGCACACTCACATCCGAACTCGATGTTCTTCAATATTTCTTTTCCTGCAATGGGAGAACTCTTACTTAAAAATCTTAAGAGTGTAATGAGAATGTATTGCAAACAATAAAAAAAAAATAACTAACATGAGAGTGGTGGATATAAAATGACATACCAATAACCGTCCAAATCCATGCTGCAGTTGATAAGGTAATCCAATGAAAGAGAACAAATTAGTCAGTGAAAAAAGCCAAATAAATGAGTACCAGAGGGAGGAGAGTAAGTTGATCGGGTTGGAAAAAAAGTTATCACTCACAAGTATGAAGAGAAACCATACAAACACCAAGGCACACCTATGCACAAACCCAAGTTTCCTAAAGAGTAGATCACAATGAATAGAGTAATTTAACAACGAGCAAACACACAAACACACAAATACACACACACACACACTTAACATTAACAATCTTACTTCGCAGAAAGACAGAGGTACGAGTAGGTTTCCTACCCCAAATATCCCTACACCAAATATCGCAAAAATCAAACCAACAAGATAATAGTTGTCATGCAAAGGAGAACAATCAACTCATGAATTATCAGGAATAAAGTTTAGTTTTTAACTTTTGGCTAGAGAATTACTCAGAATACATCTACTACCTTCTTGTCATGGTGCTGGATTCCTGTACAAAACGGTAAAGCATAATTAGGCACGTCTATTTATTTCGTGGCCTACAACAAATAAATAAACTAAAAGAAAAGCAAAAAGTGTTGAAACTTGAAAGGTGCTTATTCAACGTTCTTCAGTTTCAAATAAGCTTGACAAGGACATATGAAGATTTTGGTTATCCAATTAAAACACGTAAAAGTAAAAATAACAAGAGAAGCAAAAAAGAGGCATCTTCATTCATTTCAGATCTAGAAACTTTTCTGTAAAAATCACAATAATTCAGTAACAAAAAAATAGATATTTTGGTCGCGATTAGCCTCGCGGGCTTGTCGCCGTCGCCGCTTCCAGACCATCGCCTTCGGCAGTGTGGGTGTGTGTGTGCGTGCGTGCGAGAGAGAGAGATAGTTAACCTCTTTCGCTGGGAGAATGAATTGAATGAAATGAATCAATGATGCCCTCCGGCGGATCCATTTGCTATATTTTTAAGGTGGTGTAGGCCGCAGGGCGCTCAATGGGCCAACATTATAATTAGATATCTTTATTATTGGGCCGCTGCAAGTTAGACAAGTTTCATAATTTGGGCAGGATCAATGATATATAATATATCTTAAATATTACCCCTCTTATAATTTGAATTTATTTCTACACAGAATATCACCTCAATTTTTTGGGACATTTTTAACATAGCTTATTTATTTTTATGCACATGTTTTTATTTACAATTATTAAACATATATCAACTCAAAACCTTTTTTAATTATGGTATAATGCTGAAATTAAGTTAATTACCTCTATATATAATTTCAGAATGCGCTGAGCCTACGTGGCAAATTCTCATGCTTTGGAATCCTATTTGGCAAAAATCATGCTTTGGAGTTAGGCTTGGATATAAATTAATATTTGTATTAATTATATTTTAATATCATTTCCTATTATAACCATTGAATTGCAAATATATTTTAAAAGTTGATAACTTTTGTATTTCTTATCGGTTTTACATATATAATATATCAAATTAATTATCTTTTGATGAGCTTCGATTTGACATCTATATTGTATATATAAAATAAATAAATTATATTTATCTTTATAATAATAATAAAATTATCTATTAAAATTAATTAAAAAATAAAATTATTTATCAATTAATATTTTGCTTAATATTAAATATACGTATTCTACACTTATGCATATACATATCACCATAATATTTCTATTTACTTAAGATATATATTTTAGTACTTATGTAATAGTAAATAATATCGATATTATTATGATATAAGTAAAAAAATTCAATGCTGAAATTAAGTTAATATCGATATTATTATGATATAAGTAAAAAAATTCAATGCTGATATAAGTAAATAATATCGATATTATTTTTATGCACATGTTTTTATTTACAATTATTAAACATGTATCAACTCAAAACCTTTTTTAATTATGGTATAATGCTGAAATTAAGTTAATCTCCTCTATATATAATTTCAGAATGCGCTGAGCCTACGTGGCAAATTCTCATGCTTTGAAATCCTATTTGGCAAAAATCATGCTTTGGAGTTAGGCTTGGATATAAATTAATATTTGTATTAATTATATTTTAATATCACTTCCTATTATAACCATTGAATTGCAAATATATTTTAAAAGTTGATAACTTTTGTATTTCTTATCGGTTTTACATATATAATGTATCAAATTAATTATCTTTTGATGAGCTTCGATTTGACATTCATATTGTATATATAAAATAAATAAATTATATTTATCTTTATAATAATAATAAAATTTTCTATTAAAATTAATTAGAAAATAAAATTATTTATCAATTAATATTTTGCTTAATATTAAATAAACATATTCTACACTTATGCATATACATATCACCATAATATTTCTATTTACTTAAGATATATATTTTTGTACTTATGTAATAGTAAATAATATCGATATTATTATGATATAAGTAAAAAAATTCAACACGGGTTGACATTTTCATATACATATTGTATATATAAAATAAATAAATTATATTTATCTTTATAATAATAATAAAATTATTTATTACAATTAATTAGAAAATAAAATTATTTATCAATTAATATTTTTCATAATATTAAATAAACATATTCTACACTTATGCATATACATATCACCATAATATTTCTATTTACTTAAGATATATATTTTTGTACTTATGTAATAGTAAATAATATCGATATTATTATGATATAAGTAAAAAAATTCAACACGGGTTGACATTTTCATATACATATTGTATATATAAAATAAATAAATTATATTTATCTTTATAATAATAATAAAATTATTTATTACAATTAATTAGAAAATAAAATTATTTATCAATTAATATTTTTCATAATATTAAATAAACATATTCTACACTTATGCATATACATATCACCATAATATTTCTATTTACTTAAGATATATATTTTTGTACTTATGTAATAGTAAATAATATCGATATTATTATATGATATAAGTAAACAAATTCAACACGGGTTGACATTTTTATTTAATATACATGTGTTTACTTATTATGATTAAAAAAATATAATTTGACAATTTAATTAAAACCCAAAGTAGTGTTTTATATAAAATTAAATTATTTTAATTTTTAAAAAAATAAAAAAATTAATATTTTCTACAAAAACTTTCTAATTCAACACCCGTGTAATACACGGGTATTGCACTAGTGGGATATTATTTTCGAATACCATTCAACCTTCATTACACACGTATGGGAACATGTTCACGCACCGTCATCTTTCTCCTCCGTTCATAGCCTACATCTCATTTCTTATAAAGAAATGACTCTAGTTTTCTCAAAAACCCTCATTTTTTGATGGAGACGAGACCGCGATCGCATTTCTGGACAAATATGATCGACTCTGCATTTGATTTGATTATTATTTGCTTTCCTTTTATTTATTTCCTATTTATTTGTCTATTAGGAGTAAGTAAATAAATAAGTATCCTACAAGATACTTGTAGGGGTAGGACTCCTCTTTATTTATGTTTGGGATTGTATTAGACATCGACAGTTTTTGATTGAATTTTATCAAAATTACGTGAGTTCAACGAGAGAGTATCTCATTCATTTTCCGTTCGTATCACGTTCTACATCAGTTGGTATCCAGAGACCAGTCACGATCCACGATGTCGCCCAAGAGAAACACCGTGAACGACAACATCATTGACGATTGATTTCAGAGGATGGACGATTGGATTCAAGGGATGGACGACCGATTTACGGACCTTTCTACGGGGGTTGAAGAGATTCGACTGGCGATGCGTACAATGATGGAGGAGGTTCGTACGAACCGCGACGCCGACAACCGGGGTGGCCGCGGAGGGTTTCGAGGAGGAAGAGGAGGACGTGGCTATGGCGGGGCGCCCCACCGGCGTTCACCTCCGACTCCGACCGGCGACGACGAGAACGAGGACACCATTAGCATGGATAATCCGTTTGCTGCAGCCCACAATCAACGCCCGGTGATTACAGCCCCCACGCCGAGACGGGTGGGACCACGACGTTGGTCACCAACGACCGGCTGCTTTCATGGACCGCGACAGGGGCGAGAGGGATTGGGTGAACCGACGTGAGGCCAGGCGCCCGATAGAAGGGGGCGATGAGTGGCGTTGGGAGCAAGGGATTCGTGTGGACATTCCCGAGTTCGCTGGGGGTGTGGATGGTTCGGAATTTCTCGAATGGTGGGCATCGGTTGAAGCCGTTCTCCGATACAAGGCGGTCCCTGAGGAGAGGCGTGTTGCTTTGGTCGCCACACGATTTCGGGGAAGGGCCGCGACGTGGTGGATGCAGCTCACCAGCCTGCGGCATCGTCAGGGCAAGCCAGAAATATCATCTTGGATGAAATTCCGTAGGTATGTGGAACGTGAGTTTGTGCCTTATAATTATGATAGCATTGTGTATCAACAATTGCAGAATTTACGACAAGGAACACGTTCGGTAGATGAATACACGAATGAATTCTATCGTCTCTTAACCCGTGTTGAGCTAAATGAGACGAAAAATCAGTTGGTGGCAAGATACGTAGGGGGCCTGAGAGCGGCGATTCGTGATATGTTGAACCTCTTTCGACCGGAGTCGATCTCGGATGCTCATCAGCGAGCAATTCTCATGGAGCTGCAGCTGGCTCAGAAAGCAGGACCGTCTTTCACTTCATCCTCAAAAGGCAAGGGGCAGTTCCGGGGGTGGCTATTACGGCGGGACGCACGGCACCGGTTGCGGGTCATTTCCCGAGCCCGGGAGCTGCGTCAAATCGTTTTCCGGCGGCCAGCGGGAGTCAGCAACGACAGGGAGGTAGTGGCGGACAGCAGCAGTCGCCGGCCATGGCACGGATGGTGGGCGGGCTGCGGTGTTTCGGCTGTGGCGAGGTGGGCCACCGGCAAGCAGTATGCCCGAAGGGTCCTGGCGGTCGCACCTTATTTTCTGAGGAGATGGCGGACTTCGCCGATGACTATAGTGGTCCGCCGACTTACGATGTGGAAGCAGGAGAAGTGGAGGAATTCGTACACGGCGACGTGGGCACGGCCTTAGTTCTTCGTCGAACTTGTTTGACCCCGCGGGGTTCGAGTGACTCGCCAGTGGAGCGTAATCATCTATTTGAATCCACTTGTACGGTTGGTGACAAAGTCTGTCGTTTTATCATTGACTCGGGCTCCTGTGAAAATGTGATCGCTCAAGAGGCCGTGGACAAACTTCACCTCTCTAGTGTTCCTCACCCGCAGCCTTATACACTAGCGTGGATTCAACGATGTAATGCTATTACCGTTGACCGCCGTGTGTTGGTTTCTTTTTCGGTGGGTCCGAGATATCGTGATCAGATTTGGTGCGACGTTGTGCCCATGGATGCCTGCCATTTGCTGTTGGGTCTCCCGTGGCAGTTTGACCGGGCAGCTACTCATGATGGATGTCTCAACTGTTGGGATCTGTGAGGATCTCGTTATGTACAAATCACGAATTCAATAGCAAACGTAAACCTATGCGCAGCGGATCTAAAGGTTTGACGTAGAGAACTTACGGCTTAAAATTTATGTAGATCTGGTTGACCACGAACGGTTGACCGCAATTGATTGACCGCAACACGCGTCTTGGGTTGCACGAACAAGATCAGATCAAAACTGGATCAAACGGATGCAAACAGATCAAAACGAAATTTTGCTGCCAGACACCTTCCGGCGGCGCGTGAGGGCGCGTGCGGCGTCGGATTCCGGCGACGTCGGCGGCGATGGAAAGCTCTCGTCGAGACGGTCGTCTGGGTATACTGTACGTCTCAATCGGACTTCCGGTTAGTTCTGTAGGTCAAAATCAATTTCGTCTCGGTTTACCTACAGATCTTCTACTGTATTACTCAATACACCCTTCTTCAACTTGTACCAGTGGAGCAACAAGAAGAAGATAAAGCTCGAATGAGATCTAGAGA